CTATTGCTTTGTGCAATGTCGTGTATAAGATTTTTTCTAAAGTGCTTGCTAATCGACTTAAGGATATTTTGGGGCCTTTGGTGGACGATAGTCAGAGTGCTTTTGTTCTGAGGAGATCTATTATTGACAATATAATTGTTGCTTTTGAAACTCAACATTATTTGAAACACAAAGCCCATGGGAAAGAAGGTTATGTGGCTCTTAAACTTGACATGAGTAAGTCTTATGATAGGGTCAGTTGGTCTTTTCTCAAGGAGAATATGTTGAAAATGGGGTTCAGTCGGAAATGGGTTGATATTATTATGCTCTGTGTTTCATCTGTTAGTTACTATGTTCAACGTGACAAGGATTATTTGGGGCCAATAATTCCGCAGAGGGGCTCAGACAGGGGATCCCCTCTCCCCATATTGATTTATTCTTATAGCTGAAGGGTCGAGTGCATTACTTCGTAGAGCCGAAAGCAGAGGGGAGATCCATGGTGTGGCGGTCTGCCGCGGGGCACCTTGGATATCACACTTGTTATTTGGTGATGATTGTTTTCTATTTTTTAAATTCACGAATGAGGAATGTGCAACTGTGAAGAATATTCTGAAAATTTATGAACAACACTCTGGACTCAGGACAAATGATAAAATTTAATAAATCTTCCATTAGTTTTAGCCGGAATATTAAAATTTATGAACAACACTCGGGAGAACAATTCAAGGAGTTTTGCGGTCAACAGTTGGGAGTGCGAAGAGATGGGGCATAATCTTTATCTGGGTTTAGGAAAAAATAAACCGACCTTTCGGGCACATCGGCCGAGTGAGGGTCAACATAGGATGAGGAAATAAAGTGGAAAAAGTCCAGACAGGATTTTTTTAAGATTAATGTGAATGTGGCTGTTAACCCAGGTGGAGGAGTTCGTGCTTGGGGTTGGGTGTCATGTGATGGAGAAACAGAAGCAATGGGTATCAGGGATGGGGGTATGGATGCATAGGGATGATAGAAAGTGGAGTTTGAGACATATGCCCTTAATGGGGTTCAGAGATTGAAGGCTAAGCATGCGGGACCGCCCCTGCGCCGACCACCTTCCCTGCGCCGGTCGCCACCCCTGCACCTAGCTACAACCGCTCCTGCACCTACCTACAGCCGCTCCTGCACCTAGCTACCGCCTCTCCGCCTACAGTCACCCATTCACTGCGATGTCACCTTCCTACCTCCTCTAACACATTCAGTTAAAATGATTTTAAAATCTGCATTAGGTTTTAATTTTTTTTGAAGAAAATATCATTATAAGAGCATCTTCAATCAGAAGGTGTTCACATTAAAAAAACGAGCTACGTAATCCCTATTTAACAGCATGGGAAAATTTTCCTCTCCAATGCACTATTCTTATCCTCCTGTAATGATGACATGTACAATTTTATTTTCGACGCTGTTTACCTCCATGTCTTCACCTAACAGCGCCCTTCACACGCTGACTCAGCAAACGTGGAGCAGAAACTCAACCAAATTTGTGGATAAATATCAGGAAATTCTCCCGATAAATATCTCTTTGAATTGGAACATCAATACAGGATATGGCCATATCTTAAAGATGCAAAGTGCTTTTTTTTATTATTTAATTGTCTGGCTCGGTTTTTATTTACCGGTGTTCGTGCTTTGAACCCTTGACAATCGATCTGTTGTTTTTTCCGAGGATCCCATCGATCTTGTACAAGTTTACAGAACATATTAGTTTTCTTTGAAATTCCAAAGGCTTCTGCAATGGCAAACCGACAGGAAGCAGGGGAGATCGTGATTTCGTCTAGGTGGGTTTTGATTAAATCAACCGTATGAGATTTATTGAATTTGAAAGTAATACGTGGCTAGGATTCTATAGGCAGTTGACATATAACCATTGCACCTGATTTTGGAATTTTAAATGTCTACCTACGTGACTCAACATGAGGTGGAAGACAATTCCACTTATTAATAGTCATGTGTCTACCTACATGGCAGTTTTAATGGTCTAAGCTTGACACTTGGTGAGCTAAAAGAGAGGCTTCTTCGAAGGAAAACCGTTAAAGATAGAGATTTTCTGTCTATTCTAATGTACTTGATTACACGTGGCAGTTTTAATGGTCTAAGCACTTATTTTAGTTACCCGTTAAAACTGCCATTTTCCTTAGCTCCCAACAATGGCGACAATGGAGAACTTGATCGGGCTGGTAAATAGAATCCAACGAGCCTGCACTGTCTTGGGAGATCACGGCGGCGAAGGATCCCTCTGGGAAGCCCTTCCTTCGGTGGCCGTCGTCGGAGGGCAGGTTCATGCATCACCTCCAATTTCCTTCAACGCCATTTTCACTTTATGGCTATTTTCATCTCAATTTGTGAGTTCTGTTTGCTGTTGATTGATTAGAGCTCGGGCAAATCATCAGTCCTGGAAAGCGTTGTGGGGAGAGATTTTCTACCTCGTGGATCGGGTAATTATATTATCTCCCATCAAGATTTTCTACCTCGTGGATCATGTTGTTCAACGTTCGAACTTTCAAATCAGAAATTATGGAGCATTAAGCATTTAATAGTTCGATTGTGATACAAGTACGAGAGGAATGTTCAGGCCAGTTTGGACTGATGTGAACCGCCTTCAGGCAAAGCTTAAAGCTTTTTTGAGGGCCTTTCGAGTTGAATTTTTTGATGAAAATTTATGAGCATGTTCCTAATGATGTTTAGAACATTCACACAAAATTTCAGCTTAAAATTCAATTGGGAAGTCATTAAGAAAATTGTTGAAAAACACTGCGTTTTTTATGTTAATATTTGCGCAGTGTGTTTCAATGATTTATTTAATTGAGTTCCAGATTACATGTTAAGCTGAAATCTGGTGGAGATAATCTACACTTCATGAAGAACATATTAAAAAATCATTAAAAAATTATACCGGTAAGACCCTCAAATGGCGTGACGGCGGTTCCGGATAGTTTGGACTGACAGGAACATTACCCCAGATAGGATTCTCAATATATTATTAGCTCATGCTCAATGAACATTTCCATTTATAATTGTAATGCACATTCACCTATTACTATTTATATTAGAAACTATTACTGGTTACTAAGGAGTTTTTTCTCATTGAGGGGTGTTTTTCAAACTTATTTCCCAAACTAAGGTACTTTTAAACTTATTTCCCAAATAGGGGTATTTTTTGCCATGTCACCTCAGTATCAGTGCTGGGCGCCACATCAGCTTATCCACATCATCCCATCAATTCCATGTCATCAATTTTGAGAGTTTAGGTGTGCTTCTAAAATATATAAAGAAATGAAGCTAACAAGATTCGAACCTGGGTGGAACACAAGAAAGACATGTATTTAAACCACTACACTACACCATTCACTTGTTAACAAATGCTTTTTAAGAAGTATACATCATGTATCCTTCACCCCGGGAATGCACTATTTCTTAATCGCATGTATTATTTGTTCCTTTAGAAATACGAAGTATATTTCTTCCTTTCCCAAACAATTAAAAATATAACAATAAAAAACTTATAAAATAAAATAAAATATAAGTAAATTTCATGCTAGTCCACTTTAAATTCTATAAAAGGTTTAATATTAATGTAAAATATCGTATAAATTTTTCTTTATGAAAATTCTCTAACAGCTCAATTTTGTTCAGCCTCAGCTCGACTCTGCCTCGGAATCAAGCATTTTTCGTTTATAAATTTATCAATTTTTTTCTTACTTAGATAAATATTATATGATTTTCTTGACATGAATAGTATCTGATTTTAAATTGGGGTGGGTTAGAGCCTTTCATAACATTTAGTAACAATAAATTTTAATTAAGTCTTTATTTTTAATTATCACAAACCTAGTAGTTTGCGTAATTTTTTAATTATTTTAAAAAGAAGCTATATATTTTTAAAGCAATGAGTAATACACAGCTAAATGTATACATTCTTGGACTTAAAGTATTTGTATTGCAAATTTCACTAAAATTTAACATGTTACAATTTAGTTCAAATTTGAGTGTTGTATTTGAATTTGAAACAATAATAATCAATGAGAAAATTGAACCGAGTCCAGAAGAGTTGAGCTGCTATAATGAAATAATCACAATGAAAAGCTTAGTTTGCGATATTTAATTCTATAAAAATGTAATTTAAATTTATAAAAAAATTGAAGTATATAATTTAAAAGTTATTTGAAATAACTCAAAAGTAAATAAAATAAAAAATTAGTAAATTTCATGCAATAAGTAACTTAGAAATAAGTAACTTAGAAATATGGTTTTTATTTTAATTGATTCTATTTCATTTGAAGCTAAGTTATTTTAAAAAATACATATTCCAAATTGTGTTTTGTCATTATAAGTTTAGATTAATTTTTTGTATTCTAAGTTAAATATTTCTTTATTTTTCAAATTAAATTAGCAAATTATGTTTTTATTATAAGTTTTAATAAGATTTTTAATTGAATAACTCAAATTCAGTTTTTTATTATTACATTTTTTATTGTTTGGTAAAGAGAGATATTTCTAAAGGAATGAATAATACATGCGATTAAGAAATAGTGCACTCCCGGGATGAAGGATACATGATTTATACTTCTTAAAAGACATTTGTTAACAAGTGGATGGTGTAGTGTAGTGGTTCACATAGATGCCTTTGTTGTGTTTCACCCAGGTTCAATTCCTGTTAACTTCATTTTTTTCTACATTTTAGAAGCACACCTAAACTCTCAAAATTGATGACATGGAATTGATGGGATGATGTGGATAAGCTGATGTGTCGCCCAGCAGTGATACTGAGGTGACGTGGCAAAAAATACCCCTGTTTGAGAAATAAGTTTAAAAGTACCTTAGTTTGGGAAATAAGTTTGAAAAACAACCCTCCATGAGAAAGAACTCGGTTACTAAGCCACTTAGATATTGTGATTAATGCAGTGTGTGGCTTCACTTATTGAAGCCATAAGTGTGAATTTAATTTAACACTTTTTTGTTATTACTTCCTCCTTCGTTCCTAAATTAAATACTCACTTTCCTTCTTCAATGCCCAAAAAGTCAAGTTTAGATTCCTTTTCTGGTCATTTTTGTTTAGATTTACTCCTACAATTAGCACAATATCAGTCATTCACTTTCTCCATCATATTCTTAACGAGGACCTATTTGGAAGGCCAACATCAAAAGTTATATTGCCTATAAAAAACGGTGATGTCAAATTAGCAACGTAATTTGGGGATGAGTGTTTTATTATTACTTAAAGTTACTGTATTTACATTTTTACTTATGAACTGTGGATAAACCTTAATACATATTATTCTTTATTTTTATTTTTTATTAGGCATTGTTACAAGGAGGCCATTGGTGCTGCAACTCCATAAGACTGAGGGTGGGGTAGAATATGCAGAGTTTCTTCATGCTCCTAAAAAGAGACTTACAGATTTTGGTAAGTATAACAGATGTGTACTCCACACATGTATTTATTTCTATAGTTATATATATATATATATATATATATATATATATATATATATATATATATATATATTTACTTCTGGCAGTGGTTGTATATTTTTTAGGTTTATGTGGCTGAAGACATTTAAAGATTTTTGTAAAGCATCCCTCAGATTTACAATGGGGCATACCATCATACATATCTATTACATCTCTATGATTCAATTTGACCCTCAATTTAATCAACTTTAAACTCTTGTTTTTTTTACTTTAAACTCTTAATATTTATAGCTCTTGTGATAATGCAGCTGCAGTGCGACAAGAGATTTCAGATGAGACAGACCGCATTACTGGGAAAACCAAGCAAATCTCAAATGTCCCTATTCACCTGAGCATCTATTCTCCTAATGGTTAGAACTCGTCTGTCTTCTTTGTGCAGATTTTTTTGGAGTGTTGATGGTTTACATCTGTGGCTAATTGTGACAAAAGCAAATCCGCCATATGCACCCTAGTTTGTTTCTTTATACTTCTTTTACCTTCTTTTGGAAGCAGCAAAAAAAAAATTGTGAGTTGTTCCCGTGATGAGTTTGTTGGAATATTAGAGGTAGAGGCTAAGTATTTTAGGACGTTACGAAGATAATTGTGTAAGTAGAAAAAGCTTTTAGCTAACTAGAAGAGAGGATGGAAGAAGAGAGAACTTGTATTTTATTGTTTGAAGATTTCTTAGCTTGATGCTTGATTACAAATGAGCACAACTACACATATTTATACTACTTACATCCTCAATAAATGGTGGAGAGTTCTCTAGAATTCTCCTTATCTAGAATACTCTATTATTAATTATTCTCTAGAATGTCTCTAGAAGTCTCACACTCTAGAAACTTTCTAGAACATTTCTCCTCTAGAACACTCATTATTTTGGGCTTTGCCCATTACAACAAACATCAATTATTAACTTAGCCCAAAATCAAGTTTACATTCTAACATCCCCCCTTAAACTTGATTTCCAACTTCGAGCATTCTTTTCAATCGTTTGAAGTCTTCATGCTTGAGAGGTTTTGTAAGAATATCCGCAACTTGATCTTGCGACCTCACATACTTCACTTGGACCTCTTTGTTCTCGACACATTCACGAATAAAATGGTAGCGAGTATCAATATGTTTGGTTCGGTCATGATAGACGGGATTTTTTGCAAGTGCAATGGCCGACTTGTTATCAACATAAATCTCGGTTGCATCTTCTTGCGGCATGTGAATTTCCTTCAACAATCTTCAAAGCCAAATGATGTGACATACACATGACGTAGCGGCAACATATTCAGCTTCACAAGTCGAAAGTGTCACAATTGGTTGCTTCTTTGAAGACCATGTGAAAGACATATTCCCCATGTAAAGTACAAACCCGGTTGTACTCTTACGGTCATCGATATCTCCGCCCCAATCGCTATCACTATAACCAAACAACTTATAATCTTTAGAAGATGAGTAAGTCAATCCAAAGCTAATCGTACCTTTTAGGTAGCGTAGAATCCTTTTGGCGGCCTTCATATGGATAGATGTTGGAGCTTCCATATAGCGGCTAATAAGTCCCACTCCAAAAAGAATATCGGGCCTCGTACATGTTAAGTAGCGCAAGCTCCCAACCAAACTTTTGAACACAGTCGGATCAACTTTATCCCCTTCATCAAACTTGGAGAATTTTGTCCCATAATCGACTGGTGTGTCAATCGGCTTGCACCCATCCATCTTAAATTTCTTAAGAATTTTTCTTTCATAACCTTCTTGGGAAATAGATATTCCTCTATCACTTTGATTGACTTCTATTCCGAGGTAGTATGACATAAGTCCCATATCCGTCATCTCAAATTCACGACTCATTTCTTTCTTGAAAGCATCAAACATACCTGGATTGTTACCCGTGAATATCAAATCATCCACATATAAGCACACAATCAAAAGATCCCCATCTTCATTTGTTTTTACATAAAGGGCATATTCATAAGGGCACCTTAGAAAACCATTTTCTTGGAAGTACTTGTCTGTTCTAGTATTCCAAGCTCTTGGGGCTTGTTTTAATCCATAAAGTGCCTTTTTTAATTTTAAAACTTTATTTTCTTGCCCTTTAATTATATAACCTGGGGGTTGTTCCAAATAGACTTCTTCTTCCAAATAACCATTTAAGAAAGCCGATTTTACGTCCATTTGGTATAATCTCCAATTATTTTGAGCCGTAATTGAAATAAGTAATCTTATAGTTTCTAAGCGGACAACGGGAGCAAATACCTCGTCATAGTCAATACCGGCCCTTTGCATGTACCCTTTCGCCACCAACCTTGCCTTGTATCTTTCAATTTCTCCTTTGGCATTTTTCTTTGCTTTGTATACCCATTTAGTGCCAATAGCCTTGTGCCCCTTTGGTAGCGTAGCTAACTCCCAAGTATCATTCTTCATGATTGACTTCATCTCCTCGTCCATAGCATTTTTCCACTTCTTGTCTTCTAGCGCCTCTTGAACACCTATTGGTTCACAATCATTAAGAAGACAAACAAGAGTTATTTCATCCAAATTTTGTGTTACCTCATATATCTCTTGTAAGCTTCTATAACGGGGAGTTCTTTCATTTGAGCCTTCATCGTTGGTTGGTGGACTTCCTTGGATGGATGGTGAATGAGGTGGAGTGTTTGGTTCTTGAACCGCTTGGTCATCATGGTCCTCTTGTTCTTCATTTTCTTCAAAGAGCAGGAAGAAGTTGTAATTCTCATCTTCTTGAACTCTCCAATCCCAAGAGGCTTCTTCATCAAATCGGACATCTCGGCTCACAATGATTTTCTTTGTGACTGGATTATATAGCTTATATCCCTTTGAGTGTTTATCGTATCCAATAAACACAAACTTCTCACTTTTATCATCAAGCTTTGAACGTTTTTGATCCGGCACATGAGCATATGCTATACTTCCAAAAACTCGAAGGTGAGAAACATTTGGTTTCTTCTTCCGCCATGCTTCTTGAGGTGTCTTGTTGTCAAGACTTTTAGTTGGACAACGATTTAAAATATACACAGCACAATCAACCGCTTCGACCCAAAATTCTTTTGGCATATTCTTGCTTTTTAGCATGCTTCTAGCCATCTCAAGAATAGTTCTATTTTTTCTTTCAACCACGCCATTTTGTTGTGGTGAATATGGAACCGTTAAAGGACGGCGAATCCCATTATTTTCACAAAATTCATTAAATTTATTTGATGTAAATTCACCTCCTCTATCGGATCTCATGGCTTGTATTTCATGCCGAACTTCCTTTTCTACAAGGGCCTTAAATTTTTTAAATGACCCAAAGACTTCCGACTTTTCTTTTAGAAAATAGACCCAAGTTTTTCTAGAATAATCATCAATGAAAAGAAGAAAATAATTATTCTTTCCATATGAACTTGGTTTAATGGGTCCACAAACATCGGCATGAATTAATTCCAAGGGCCTTTTAGCTCTAAAATTTGATTCTTTTGGAAAACCTTTTCTTGCATGTTTTCCTAAAAGACACCCCTCACACAATTGATTTGGATGATTTATCATTGGCATCCCATCAACCATTTTGGTTCTTGATAATAAATTTAAGCCACCAAAGTTCAAGTGCCCAAACCTTAAGTGTCATAACCACGAATCATCTTTTAGACATGAATGTAAGCATTTTGCTTCATCATTTTGAATCTCCAATAAAAACATTCTATTTTTCGTCATTGGCACTTTGGTTATTAATCTTCCTTCACTTCTTAGAAAAAGATTATTATCTTTTAGATTGATGTCATAACCTTTTTCTAGAAGTTGCCCCAAACTCAAAATATTATTTTTTAGATTGGGCACATAATAAACATCGGAAATAAATTGGTGACTACCATCTTTTAGACGGATTAAGATATTACCTCTTCCTTCCACCGACACCTTTGACTCGTCTCCAAATGTGATTTTTCCATTGGCTTGTTTAATTTCCGCGAACATGGTTTTATCACCGGTCATGTGGTTGCTTGTGCCGGTATCTAATACCCACACACTCTTTCTTTCTTTCTCTTTAAGATCATGTGCCATCAATAAGGTAAGATCGACTTCATCCTTGACTTGGTTAAACTTTTCTTCCACTTCACAGTAATTTGCCTTGCAATCGGAAGTGAAATGACCAAATTTATCACAATTATAGCATCTAACTTGTGATTTCTCATACCTTTGGTATCCGCCTCTTCCACGACCTCTTGTCGGCTTGAAGTGTTGTTTTTTCTCTTCTTCGTGTTCTTGGTGATTTTCACCATGTCCTCTTCCTCGGCCTCGACCTCGTCCACGGCCCCTAGCTCGCCCTCTTTGACCATCACCTCTTTTGAATGAAAGTTGTGTATAAAGTGCTTGCTCCAACGGATATTGCACTTTCTTCTTTTTCATTTTTTCTTCATGGGCCACTAGTGATCCGTTAAGTTGGTCTATAGTCATCGAGTCTATATCATGTGATTCCTCAATAGCTACTACCACATGCTCAAAATTTGGAGTTAAAGAGCGAAGAATTTTTTCTACCACTCTTGTATCTTCCAAATTTTCTCCATTCCTCCTTAGTTCATCTACTACCTTCTCAACTCTATCAAAATAATCAGAAATAGACTCGGATTCCTTCATTTGAAGAGACTCAAACTCACCTCTAAGTGTTTGGAGACGAACACGTTTTACCTTATCGACTCCACGATATGTATTTTGAAGAATCTCCCAAACTTGCTTCGAAGTAGTTGCATTTGCAACCTTCACAAGTTGATTGTCATCCAAGCATTGATGAATGAGAGTCATTGCCTTTTGATCCTTCTCCCGAGTCTTCTCTAATGCATCCTTTTGGAGTGCACTAAGAGTACTTTCATCCTCTAGTTCAACATAGCCATTCAGCACCAAATCCCACACCTTTTGTGAACCTAGTATTGCCTTCATTCGGATGCACCAAGTACTATAGTTGTCTTTGGTTAGGCGAGGGAATTGAAAGGATTGCATCCCGTTAGTCATGGCTCTGATACCAATTTGTTGGAATATTAGAGGTAGAGGCTAAGTATTTTAGGACGTTATGAAGATAATTGTGTAAGTAGAAAAAGCTTTTAGCTAACTAGAAGAGAGGATGGAAGAAGAGAGAACTTGTATTTTATTGCTTGAAGATTTCTTAGCTTGATGCTTGATTACAAATGAGCACAACTACACATATTTATACTACTTACATCCTCAATAAATGGTGGAGAATTCTCTAGAATTCTCCTTATCTAGAATACTCTATTATTAATTATTCTCTAGAATGTCTCTAGAAGTCTCACACTCTAGAAACTTTCTAGAACATTTCTCCTCTAGAACACTCCTTATTATTTTGGGCTTTGCCCATTACAACAAACATCAATTATTAACTTAGCCCAAAATCAAGTTTACATTCTAACAGAGTTTGGAGAGAAGTTGATCTTCATATGAAATTCTGCATACGGTTCAAACCTAGCATTGCCTTCTTGATTTTCCATAAAGATAGGAAGGGATGAAATAAGCAATGTCTAGCCTGTAGTATTTGGCCTTTAGAACATATTACATCTGCAAGAAGGTATATATTGTATGCAGTAATAGGTCATGCATTTTCTCTAAAGGATAATTCTTTGTAAGACTGGCTATCCTTTCCACCTTTACTAGATATCTTTAAAATCTTTCAATTGTGTATGTATTTGTTTTACCTTAAGAGCACATATTGTATCTCCATCTAGGATGCATCACCATGACGTGAGGTGGGTGTTTTGTTTTGCAGTTGTAAATCTAACTCTTGTAGATCTTCCTGGGCTGACAAAGGTTGCTGTAGGTGAGCATTGGATCATAGTTTTACTTAGTTTTCTTTGGGTTCATTGGGTTGACTGTGGTTGACTTCAGAACAAAGTCACACTATCTTTTACATAATTTGCAGAGGGGCAGCCAGAGAGTATTGTAGAAGATATTGAAATGATGGTGCGCTCTTATGTGGCAAAGGTAATGACAGTTTCTAGCTTCGGTAAGTATGTGACAATTTGGGGAAGTATTTTTAGGGGAGTATGTAAGAGATGCAATGTACTTTCACTGATTTCACTTTATGGGAAGAGATCGATAGAGAAAATGTTTACGTAAGAAGTGCAACGTTCTTATAATAAAATGCTTTAGTGTAGCATTAACTCGTAGGTTTTGGCCCAAGAACCTTGTGAAATGTTGTGAATAACTGAGTAAAAGATTATGAGTCGGGGTCTCCGCTCTCCAATAACACTGATATGAAGAATAAATATTTATTTGAACACAAAGAAATGAGAGGGAAAGCCAATAAGGTGACTTGAGGCTTTGCATTTGAACTATATTTATTAGTTGGAAGTGCTTAGCACAAAGTGTCATTTGTTAGTATTTGTTTAAATATTGAATGAAAGCTTTACTTAGCACAATATTTTTTGCAACGTTTTCATTGGCATGGTAAGTGTGGAATGTATCCAAGTTTAAATTTTTTTGTCAAGACTTATTTGCATCTGCCCATATTCAAATACTAAATATGTAGTAATACATTGTCCCTTACTTCTTTCTTCCATTGGAGGACAATTACAAATTGTCTAAAAATCTATCTCCTTCATGCATTTCTCTCTCTCCCTAGCCCAATTGCATCATTTTGGCTATTTCTCCAGCCAACCAGGACATTGCAACTTCTGATGCTATAAAACTTGCAAGAGAAGTTGATCCTTCAGGTACGATATCTTTCCTCAATGAAATGTTTATTCTTTTATTCACATTTACGTCATTCTGAATTTCCCTTTAGTCTCTTATTTCTTTTAAATTCTGACCTTTGTGTTTTCTTTATCCAGGAGAAAGGACATTTGGAGTGTTAACTAAACTAGATCTGATGGATCAAGGAACAAATGCCTTGGATGTATGATATGCAGGCCTTTCAAGGCTACTTTCTTTTGTAGGGCTAGATAACCATTTTTTATATAAACTTTGCAACATTAGTTTTTCGGATTTGTTTCAAACTAGCAATGTTTGCTCTCATTTGTCCTTTATTTATCTTTTTTTCTATCTCCTTTTCTGTAAGGTGCTTGAAGGTAGGTCATACAGGCTCCAACATCCGTGGGTTGGAATTGTGAATCGTTCACAGGCTGACATTAATAAGAATGTTGACATGATGTATGCCCGTCGTAAGGAACAAGAGTATTTTGAGTCCAGCCCTGAATATGGACATCTGGCTCATAAAATGGGTTCTGAGTATCTGGCAAAACTTCTCTCACAGGTTTTCTCCTAAATGTGTAACTTTTTATTAAGTTCTCTTTTGAGTTCATGTATAACACTCCCTCTCTTCCTCCTTACCAAGACACCTTTGAGTTTTTGTGGTAAATATTTTAGCTTCGGACAATAATTTTTTTCTGTAAAAAAAGTTATAGCATGCAGTCAATATAAAAAAAGTTACAGTATTTGTTAAGCTTACTCTCATAAAAGTACACATTTAATAATCATCTCCAAATATACTTTTATCATCTAAAGCATTGATCAAAGTTCATTTTGACCACAAAAAGACAAATGTCATCTACTAAAGAGGGATGGATGGAGTAATATTTTCAAAAGTACTCATAATGGCTTTTACTCATGATCATGTTTAGCATTTGGAGGTTGTCATTAGGCAGCGCATACCGGGTATTATTGCACTAATAAATAAGACTATAGATGAGCTTAATGCGGAGTTGGATCGTATTGGACGGCCTGTTGGTGTAGACGGAGGGGTAATGATCACAAAATCCAGACCTGAGTGGCTGAGTTCTATGCCTAAGAGAAAGCCCAATATTGATCTTTTCCTTTTGTTTGCAGGCACAACTGTATACAATATTGCAAATGTGTCGTGCATTTGATCGCATATTCCGAGAACATCTTGATGGAGGGTAATTATATCTTTTCACTCATTTTCCTGAAATTTGAAAATCATTTTGACCGCACTTCAGCAAATGTGTTTTTTTCTGTACAAGAACTTGGTGTTAATGAAACTCGATATATTCTGATTTTATGTCTTCAGACTTTTAAACATATAATAATGCATTGTGAGTTTTGTGACTAATACAACTCTATCTCAACTTCAAACCAAAACGTTTTTTTTTCTGTATGTTATGCAATGTCCACAAAGTATGGTGGCCCATTTGGTTATTGTGATTTGATTTTCAAGTATGTGATGAGCATCAATCTTTGTCTCAGGAGGCCTGGTGGTGATAGGATATATGCTGTCTTTGACCATCAGCTCCCCTCTGCCATGAAAAAGCTTCCTCTGGATCGCCACCTTTCGTTGAATAATGTCAAGAAAGTCATTTCTGAGGCAGACGGTTATCAGCCTCACCTGATTGCACCTGAACAAGGATACAGGAGATTGATTGATGGATCCCTTGGATACTTCAAGGGTCCTGCTGAAGCTTCTGTTGATGCGGTGGGATCATTATTCTATATGGTTTATATGCAAATATGATGGTTTCATTACATCATGGATGTTAATATTAGGTGAAAGTTCAATTATCTAGTTTTTTAAGAGACTTTAATTTCTTTACCATTTGTTTATTTATTTAAGGTGCACATCATATTGAAAGAATTGGTGAGGAAGTCCATTGCACAAACAGAGGTAGGTTTAACACTTCTGTTAAGCATTCTTCTAGTATGGCCTACATATGTGAAAGTCATTTGCATTTCTATTCATCAGTTTGTCTTTCAAATAGTGTCTTCTTTTTCATTTGAAGAGAAAAATTAAAAACAATAGGTAGATAGATTATGATTGAAATTAATTTCTTGATATTAGCGATAGGTTTATATCAATAACAAAATGGTCATGTAGGAATTGAAGCGATTCCCAACACTTCAATCTGATATAGCTGCTGCTGCAAATGATGCACTTGAGAGGTTTCGTGACGAAAGTCGCAAGACGGTTATGAGACTGGTGGAAATGGAATCTTCATACCTGACTGTGGAGTTTTTCAGGAAGCTTCAGACAGAGCCAGAGAAAAATGCAAACACAAACCAAAGTAGTTCAAATACAGACCGCTACACAGATCATCATCTGAGAAGAATTGGTGAGTTGGCGATCAAACCACAATTCATTTTTCAGAATTACAAAAAGTTTATTTTACATTGACTGTATCATTGTTTATAAAATGCCACTCTAACCCTGATTTATCCGAGCGAAGGTTCTTCTGGCTCAAAAATAGGGTGGTTATCTAAGAACTTAAGACATTGGAGATGTGAACTCATATTTGGATGTGCAAAGCTAAAAGTTCCCCTTTTCGTTAAGTTATTCTTCCCAAGGTGGAATCTCCCACCCTACACTCTTACAAGATGGAGTAGGTGCGGGAGTTAAATCACAATGACTTAGTTGGACTAAAGGCTAGACTTATACCATAGCGGCACAAAGAGCCCTCAATTTGCTTTAATTAACTTTCATTCTGTTGCTGATAGGATTCGATTCTTCGAACTTTTCACTCTTGGAAGTAACTAAGCTACATATCTGGGCTTATGCCCCCAATGATTCCCTTACTAGTAGCTAGGTCAAAGTTCTAGGTCTCGGTTTGGTAGACAGTTGGTGCTTCTTACAACCCTTTTATATGGTATATTGAATATTTGACACCCTCTAGTTGTTTATGTACAAAGGCAATTCGTAAAAAAATCAGAATGTTTTAAGGAAAACGTATGGAATTGTCTGTGTAGCATGTAAAAAGGTGTGTACACGCACATAGTGTGTACATGAATGACTCTCAATATAAACATGAAACAGCTAATCCACAAACCTGATGCTTCTATGTCAGACACTTTGTTTTCAGGATAAAATACCACTTTCTCTAAATGTGTTCTCTTGACTGGCGCAGGATCAAATGTCACTGCATATGTTAGCATGGTATGCGACACATTAAAGGGTACTATTCCCAAGGCAGTCGTTTATTGCCAAGTTCGAGAGGCTAAGAGAGCACTGTTAAACAGGTTCTACTCTGAAGTTGGAAGGAGAGAGGTAAATATTTTAGGCTGTCAAATACACGTGGTCCAGCAAGCTTAAATGCAGATGACTCTATGCAATATTTAAACTTTAAAAAAACATCCATCATCAAAACAACTCAAGTTGATACTTTTGAGTACATTTTATGCAAAATGAAGCAGATTGATGTGTTTCAAAGGGGTAAAGAAGTGATTTTTTTGTTTATTTGTGTACAGAAGGAGCAGTTGGGGAAAATGCTGGATGAAGATCCTTCACTAATGGCAAAGAGGGAGGCCATAGCCAAGAGGCTGGAGCTGTACAAGTCCGCCAGAGATGAGATTGACTCTGTTGCATGGAAATGAAAAATTGACCAAATTCTTCTACTCTTCTCCCTTACATATGTCGAATTAATTAGTTCACACATATATAACAGTCTCATTGTTTGATTTGTAGTTCCACTGAGCTGTGGTGACAAACATGAAACGTATGCTAAATCATACTTCTTATTTTTTTTCACAGAAAAACAATAATAGAAGTGCCCCCTATGTAAACATATTCACATGTAGTCTTATTGCCAGTTTACTTTTATTATTTTGTTCTTCCATTTTGCTTGTTTCATTTGATTCTTTGTTGGACTAAGTGCAAAGCCATATGATATTTCAAAATGAAAAATGAACTCTAATCCTCGACTCCGTGAGGGCGATCTAACTGTTAATTGAAAGGTTAAATTGGTTATCTGATATTTGAGAACATCCCATGATGAAGTGTTGAACACGGTTACCCTTTAGGTTGGTTGCTACTTGCCCAGAATCAAACCCGGGAAAAAAGTTCTAGTAGTACATCTTATTAACCAATTGAGGTTAGGAATGGACTTGGGCCGGTTCGGGCCCGGTTCGGGCCTGGGCCCAGCCGGGCCTCGGTTCTAGGAAGGCAGGCCCGGAACCGGCCTGGATAACCCCGGGTCCGGTTCGGTTCGGGTCACCCGCCCGGTTCACGGGCCGGGCCGCCCGGCGGGCCGGGCCGGGCCTATTTAAATTTTTTTTTTAATTATTATATAATTAGAATAAATCTTATTACAATTACAATATATTATATTCGAATTGAAGTATATTTATTTCAAATAAGAAGTACAATTGAGAATTAGGATGAATTTAAAAAATGTAATACATTTTGTAATAAAAAATCAATCGGACTCTCCGCCTTCGGTTGTTTCCTCCATAAAGTGGCGGGAGGGAGTGATGGTAATTTCTTGAGTTCTTCGTTGGGCCTTCAACCAATCGTGAAAGCAAACTAGTGTCTCAAGAGAGCTCGGGCTCAACCTCGTTCTAAAATCGGTTAGGACGTTGCCGGCCGCACTGAATTCTTGTTCCACGGCAACGGTTGATATCGGCATTGCTAGTACTTGCTTAGCCATCTTTGATAAAATCGGGAATGTTCTTTCATTTTCCTTCCACCACTTAAGAACGTCAAAGTCATCACCAACTTCATAATCAACATTCAATGTTAGATACAAAGAAAGCTCGTTACCTGAGCTTTGTTCAGTAGCGGGAGTTGCTCTACTTTTTTTCAAAAGAGAACCAAAAGCGGATTTTAAAAGTGATTTTCCTTTAGATGAAGAAGATGTTCGTTGCATGGGAGGAGGTGCATTACCATATTGTGCATGAAATTCATTATACAATTGATGAAATAAATTACTAACCTCGTTGAATTCTTGTTTAGGGTCGATGGGATTATCATCAAACTCTTGAGTTGGAAAAAAAGAAGCATAATAGTAATCTATACAATTTGCCAAGTAAGGAAGTTTATAACGAGGATCAAGAACAAATGCAATACCATATATATGCGGAATATGTGAATAATATTTTAAAAACTTTTGTTTCATGAAATCACAAAAATAACTAACGTAAGCGGCGTGGGTGGACTGAAGATGCCTTTTGAGACTCCCGTATCCGCCAGAAATTCCCAAGCTAAACTCTTTCTTGCAATGATTGCAACTTGCGTACCATTTTTCGGTTTTTTCGTCTTTCCTTTTTGTAAAATTGTTTTCAATAATAGCAGATTTAGATTTCTTACCAATTTTGGTTGTAGTCGTTGAAGGGCCCTCGTCCTCTTGCTCATCATCCGGAGTCCCGTCGCCCCCCGCGTCCTCCTCCCCATCGTCATCCTCGAGCTCCTCTTCATCGATGGTTGTCGGGAATTGTTGTTCTTGTGCAAAACGTGGATCATTTTGGGACAATAGGTGTTGTAGTTCCTCGTCGGACATCATCATACCATCTCGCCGTTGGTAATCCGTTTCAAAATCATCTCGACTTTGAAAAGAAGACTCGGCCCGCGCTTTACCTTTGCCTTTGCGTGAAGTAGATCGAGTCGATGCAATCTCCCTCTTGCGGTTGCGTTGGAGATTACCCACATCTACAGAATGTCTACCTCGCTCCATCTTTAAAATTGAACAAATATTAGCAATTAACTAATATGAGAAATGTAAAAATTAACTAGTTTTGTTATTTTAATGAGATATGTAGCAATTAACTAAAATGAGAAATGTAAAAATTAACTAGTTTTTTTTACTTTAATGAGATATGTAGCAATTAACTAATATGAGAAATGTAAAATTGTAGCAATTAACTAATTAACTAATATGAGAAATGTAAAAATGTAGCAATTAACTAATTAACTAATATGAGAAATGCACAAATGTAGCAATTAACTAATATGACAAATGTAAAATTGTAGCAATTAACTAATTAACTAATATGAGAAATGTAAAAATGTAGCAATTAACTAATTAACTAATATGAGAAATGCACAAATGTAGCAATTAACTAATATGAGAAATGTAAAAATGTAGCAATTAACTAAGTAACTAATATGAGAAATGTAAAAATGTAGCAATTAACTAATTAACTAATATGAGAAATGCACAAATGTAGCAATTAACTAATATGAGAAATGTAAAAATGTAGCAATTAACTAATTAACTAATATGAGAAATGTAAAAATGTAGCAATTAACTAATTAACTAATATGAGAAATGCACAAATGTAGCAATTAACTAATATGAGAAATGTAAAAATGTAGCAATTAACTAATTAACTAATATGAGAAATGTAAAAATGTAGCAATTAACTAATTAACTAATATGAGAAATGTACAAATGTAGCAATTAACTAATATGAGAAATGTAAAAATGTAGCAATTAACTAATATGAGAAATGTAACAATTAAGTAGTTTAACTAATATTAATATGACAAATGAAACAATTAACTTTAACTACTTTAACTAATATTAATATGAAAAATGAAACAATTAAGTAATTAAATAGATAAACGAGAAGTGTATATATAAATCAAATGTATAACTATATATAGTATATATAAATATATAATGTGTAAATATATTATAAGTAATATATAATATAATGTATAACTATATTATAAGTAATATATAATATAATGTATAACTATATATAGTATATATAAATATATAATGTGTAAATATATTATAAGTAATATATAATATAATGTATAACAATATATAGTATATAATATAATGCGTAAAGAATTATAATATGAATGTGTATAAGTATATATTTATAAGTAGATAATTAATATTATAATATATAAGTAGATATAATAATTATATAAATTATATATATGTAGAAAGAATTTGGAGAAGATGAAGAATGAAGATGATTGAATATGAGAGATTAAGAGAATAGAGAATTTAGATTTTAGAGAGTAGAAAGAGTTGTAGAAGAAGAGGTGTAAAAAATGTATAGAAAATAGGAGTATAAATAGGTTTTTTTTTGTATACCCCACCCCCACCCCCACCCCACCCCCCCTAACCCCCCAGACCCCCCCTCCTATGCTCCCAACGGCTATAGAGCCGTTTGGGAGGTCTCCCAACGGCTAGTAGAGCCTTCAAATTTTTTTAAATTTTTTTTTTTTGTGACCGTTGAGGCCCGGACCGGGCCCGGCCCGGCCGGGCTGGTTCACCAAATTATAAGCCCGGGCCCGAACCGCTACATGACCGGGCCGGGTGGCCCGAACCGTGACCTAACCGACAAACCGGGCCGGTCCGGGCCCGCACAGTAGCGGGCCGGTCCGGTTCCGGGCCGGGCCAACCGGCCCGAGTCCACCCCTAATTGAGGTGTATACTAGAATGGTTAATGCTATTTGACTATTTCTAAAGTGGCAATTGTGTGTGATAAAGTAGTTATTTAATATATTGAGTAATGATCATGTCAATGCCGACCCGAAAGGACCTGTCGTCCGGCCAAGCTTGTTTGAGGGCTTTCAGGTCGAATTTTTTGATAAAATATTTTTAGCATGTTCTTCATCAAGTGTAGATTATCTCAATAATATTTCAGCTTTAAGTTAGATTTTATGGATGTTATGTTTAAATTTCTTTTGCGGAAAGTTTAGGCTTACATTGTCAAGTTTCCTTGCAAGTTCTAAGAGAGATTCACTCTTCCATTCAAAAAGGAAAACCCGAACCGTTTTCACGGTTTTCACCCGGAAGACCTGCAGCTTTCTTGAAAAATTACAAAGCAAATTTGGATTTTTGGCTTACTTAAAAGCTAGTTGAGAATATTGACAAGTCTACTATTAAGTTTTAAACATTCTAATTATCAATTTCAATCTTTGCAAGTTTACTGTCCATCAAGATGTGAAGTGGTCAAGTTTCAATCTGAAGTTGCATATAGTGATTTTATGAAGCAATGGAATGTTGGGTTCCATTTCTCATTAAGGTAGTCCAAGTCCAACACGTTCCATATAATAGCTGATTTCAAATGTGAAAACTTATTTTCAGTAATGCCTTTTTTTCCGTTCTCTCATAGGGTCTTGGGAAATTCTAGGAAAAAGGATTTTTTTTTTCAAAAGTTAGTTTTGTTATGTTTGATTTTATCATGGAAAATGCCAATGAAATGATCAATCATTTTCCCATTTCTATAAAATTTAGATAGTATATATTTAGATTGGTAGTACTTGTGAAGCTCCGAACAGAGACCTTCTAGTGGGACAAATGTGCGGAGGTTTTAAATGAAAATAAAAATTTTACTTCTATTACGGCCCCATTTGTGACCCTGTTTTTTTTAGCTTATTAGTTTTATTAGTCAATACTTTCACCAAATATGTAACTCTTAATTTTGCGCGCTGAATTGTGTAATAATCAGAATAAGTAAATTAAAGTTATTTTTCTAGTTGAATTGATTGAAATTACTGTAGAAGATTACTTTAGCTATTTTTCATATAAATTTTTCATTATTTTATTAATAGAATATATTTTAAATATTTACTTTGACAAATCAATAAAATAAATCAATCTAACCACTTCAATCATACTTCATAAATTTCAACGGAATCAAACGAGTTCTTAGTCCTCTCACAAAATCCAAAGGATTATAAGTAGAAAAACTTGAATTCCAATACTACAAGTAGAAGCGTCACTAACACAATAGCCTTTGGTAACAATCCCTGCTGTTACTCTTTGTAATGGCCGTGATTAGAAGTGACAAAAGCCCTATCAATATATGAGCTGATGTTATAGAGTGATTTGTTACTCTTTGCCATCATAAAGTTGCTCTAACTTTCTCAACCTATCAAATTTAGTCT